CAGTACGGGACAGACAATTGGTACAGGACGTGAATCAAAAGGCCTTTACTACCTTAACTCACTTAGTCCTTCCATAACATGTCTAGTTACAGATCTTCCAGACTTAATCCACAGACGTTTAGGACATCCGAGTTTATCCAAACTTCAAAAGATGGTTCCTAGTTTATCTAGTTTGTCTATATTAGATTGTGAGTAGTGTCAGCTTGGGAAATATACCAGAGCCTCCTTTACGCATAGTGTTGAGAGTCATGCAGAGTCTGTTTTCTCCTTAGTTCATTATGATATATGGGGTCCTAGTAGAGTCAGTTCAACCTTGGGATTTCGTTATTTTGTTAGTTTTATTGATGATTATTCAAGACGTACTTGGCTTTTCTTAATGAAAGATCGTTCTGAGTTATTTTCTATATTCCAGAGTTTCTGTGCTGAAATCAAAAACCAATTTGGTGTTTCTATTCGCATTTTTCGCAGTGATAATGCCTTAGAATATTTATCTTCTCAGTTTCAGTAGTTTATGATTTCTCAAGGAATTATTCATCAGACATCTTGTCCTTATACCCCTCAGCAAAATGGGGTTGCAGAGAGAAAGAATAGGCACCTTATTGAGACTGCTCGCACACTTCTAATTGAATCTCATGTTCCATTGCGTTTTTTGGGCGATGCAGTTCTCACAGCTTGTTATTTGATTAATCGGATGCCTTCATCTCCTATCAAGGATCAGATCCGCATTCAGTATTGTTTCCCCAGTCACCCTTATACTCTCTTCCAACTCGTGTTTTGGGGAACACGTGTTTTGTTCATAACTTAGCCCTTGGGAAAGATAAGTTAGCTCCACGTGCTCTCAAGTGTGTCTTCCTTGGTTATTTTCGTGTTCAGAAGGGATATCGTTATTATTCCCCTGATCTTCATAGGTACCTTATGTCAGCTGATGTCACATTTTTTGAGTCTAAACCTTTCTTTATTTACCTCTGCTGACCGCCATGATATATCTGAGGTCTTACCTATACATACCTTTGAGGAGTTTACTATAGCTCTTCCTCCACCTTCGACCACAGAAGTTTCACCCATACCAACGTTGAGAAGTCTAGTGTTGTTCCTCCTAGATCCCCAGCCACAGGAACACCACTCTTGACTTATCATCATCGTCCACGCCCTACATCAGGCCCAACTGGTTCTCGTCCTGCACCTGACCCTACTCCTACTGCGGACTTGTCTCTTCCTAGTACACCGATTGCACTTCGGAAAGATATACGGACCACACTTAATCTAATCCCCATTATGTCGGTTTAAGCTATCATCGTCTGTCATCTCCCCATTATGCTTTTATATCTTCTTTGTCCTTGGTTTTCATCCCTAAGTCTACAGATGAAGCGTTGTCTCATCCAGGATGGCGACAGGCTATGAGTGACGAGTTGTCTGCTTTACATACAAGTGGTGCTTGGGAGCTTGTTCCCCTTCCTTCAGGTAAATCTACTGTTGGTTGCCGTTGGGTTTATGCAGTCAAAGTTGGTCCCGATGGCCAGGTTGATCGACTTAAGGCCCGTCTTGTTGCCAAAGGGTATACTCAGATATTTGGGCACGATTATAGTGATACCTTCTCTCCCGTGGCTAAAGTCGCATCAGCCCGCCTTTTTCTATTCATGGCTGCGGTTCGTCATTGGCCTCTCTATCAGCTGGACATTAAGAATGCATTTATTCACGGTGATCTTGAGGATGAGGTTTATATGGAGCAACCACCTGGTTTTATTGCTCAGGGGGAGTCTCGTGACCTTGTATGTCGCTTGCGTCGGTTACTTTATGGTCTAAAGCAGTCTCCTCGAGCCTGGTTTGGTAAGTTCAGCACGGTTATCCAGGAGTTTGGCATGACTCGTAGTGAAGCTGATCACTCTGTGTTTTATCGGCACTCTGCTTCAAGTCTCTGTATTTATCTGGTAGTCTATGTTGATGATATTGTTATTACTGGCAATGATCAGGATGGTATTACCAATCTGAAGCAGCATCTCTTCCAGGACAGGGGGAGCCGTTTAGCGATCTTGCAAGCTATAGGCGGCTGGTTGGTAAATTAAATTATCTCACAGTGACTAGACCCGACATTTCTTATCTTGCGAGTGTTATAAGTCGGTTTATGAATTCTCCCTGTTATAGTCATTGGGATGCAGTTGTCCGCATTATTCGGTATAAAATCGGCTCCAGGCAACGGGTTACTGTTTGAGGATCAAGGTCATGAGCAGATCGTTGGATACTCAGATGCTGATTGTGCAGGATCACCTTCTGATAGACGTTCTACGTCTGGATATTGTGTTTTAGTAGGAGGAAATTTGGTGTCTTGGAAGAGCAAGAAACAGAACGTCGTTGCTCGGTCTAGTGCAGAGGCAAAATATCGAGCAATGGCTATGGCAACATGTGAGCTAGTCTGGACCAAACAATTGCTCAAGGAGTTGAAATTTGGTGAAATCGGTCGGATGGAACTTGTATGCGATAATCAAGCTGCCCTTCATATTGCATCAAATCCAGTGTTCCATGAGAGAACTAAACACATTGAGATTAATTGTCACTTCGTCAGAGAAAAGATACTTTCAGGAGAGATTGCTACAAAGTTTGTGAGGTCGAATGATCAGCTTGCAGATATTTTCACCAAGTTCCTCACTGGTCCTCGTATTGGTTATATATGTAACAAGCTCGGTACATATGATTTGTATGCACCGGCTTGAGGGGGAGTGTTAGTTTACAGATATGTACATAATGTAGTCTTGTCCCACATTGGAATAGGAGTAATATGTCCTTGCAGAGTATAGCTATAAATAAGGACCTCTTGTATTGTATTGAGTATCTAATATCAATAATATATTTTCTCCCTATCAGAGATTTACATCACTTACATGTTTAAGACTACACCAAAAACTAGATTAACTAAACATTAGTCTTCAAACTATGCAGACGTTTGAGACTCCTTCAAAATATTGTTTCTGCACACTTTCAACGGTCAAATTGGTGTTTCATCAAAGCCACTTTTTAGGACTAAATTTCATAAATTAAGGCAATATAATTACTATTCATAATATAATTCAATCCTCAAGAGGTATATTATGCCATTGAGCAACAATTCCATCTTTGCATAAATAATTTAAGGCAATGAACACGATTGACTAACAGTAAACTCACTTAAACTGTAAGTAAAGATAAAATTTAAATCTGAAAACTACAAAAGATAAATAATGAAGATGATCAATAGTTGTTTACCATGCCAGGTAGCTTTACAATGAGCATGTAGGTAGCTATACAACGTGAAAGGGTAGCTGCACTTTCAACTATCAAACGCAACTTAAGGAGAAGCAAATTCTGAGATAAGATGTAAAAGGGTTCGGCTAGTAGCTCCAATATACATGCAAAACCTGCTCGATGGAAATAAAATTTCCAATAAAAATGAAAAAGTCAGACGAGAATTTTTCCAGAAAATTTCACAAAATCAACTTCAGGGACAGTCCAATACATGATATATTCAAGTCTCGAACATCCAACCAGATGTAAGTAGGAAAAAAAACGGTTCTAAGCAGGTCAGGATTATGTTAAACTCACATTGAAGCCAAAGACATACAGCACATGAATAACAATTTCAGAAGGGCATACATACAAACCCTCACAAGTAACAGTTCAAAAGCCGAAAACAGAAGCAACCATGGCAGCATAGTTCTTTTTTTTTTTTTTTGATAAGTAACCATGGAAAGCTTAGTTTTCCTGGCTCACATTGATAGCCAGGCACACAGCACAATGCTTTAAAAGACTGTATATCAAAGTTTAAGCTCACCATTTATCCATATAGCCTGTGCATATTGACTAGAATAACTTAGTTCTTGCCACCATAAAACAAAAAGGCATCCTGCAAATGTGACAATTATTCCCAAAGGGAGGGTCATCCATGCTACTCTCAACAGTTTTGCTGCATTTTCTCTCAGTGATCCGCCACTGCAATTTAAAGACAGTAACTTCCTTAAACTTCAAAAGCAGATCCATATGTATGTATCCTCTTGCCCTGTCTCATCTCACATATTTAATCTGAGAATTCAAAACCTTAGCCACCTATTAGTTCTCGTCTTTGTCAAAGACCTCTAGAAAGTTTCACATGCTTATCCACATTGTCACAAACAATGGAAGTCCTTCTCTAGAAAGGACTTTTACGTTGTTTGAGTCGATGCTGAGAAAAAGCAACAGGAAAATGTAAAAGCAAGTGGATGATTTTTCAGGCTTTTTGAGCTCTTTGCAAATTAAATGGAAATCTTTGGCGATTCACCTACCTGGTGCTTGTATAGTACAAAATAAAGTAATGATTTTTTAAAGAAGTTATAATCTGGAGATTAGTTTCACTCCTATTCCAATTGGTAAATAACAAGCATAATTAGGTTTAATGTGGATCACATAAAACAGATTTTCAAAATCTCACAGCAAAAGTATAAAAGAACATTTTATTGACTGACCATAACAGCTTGACACAAAATATATGCTTACTACACGAGATGAGTACTGAACTCTTTAATTTCAATATAAAGAGAGAGAAAGAGTTGCAACAGGCTTCTATTGATTTGATAATTTTATTTATTGAAACTAAAAGAAATTCTGAAATGAAATACAAAGAACAAAACTAAAAGAAGCATGAAAGAAAACATCCAATAGTACCAATAAATGTCGGCCCTCATGCATGCTCGCCTGAAGCCCTCTCGACTAAGAAAAAGCACACAAGTAATGAACAAGTGAAATTGTACAGCATACAACTGCATGATGCACAAAGAAGTGTTAGACATTTCCTGTACATAAAACCAAAAGTCAGGTTGAAAAGTACAATAAAACATACGAGTTAATTGATAACATGTTGAACTCACATCACCACAAACATCATTCAAAATTATGGTGAATCGATATGGTACATGTCAACATAGATGCTGTATTGTCTAGTTCACAACCAGTCAGCCACAAAAGTTTATACCAGAAAAAGAAAAGAAAAACAACTTAAAGCTTATAGCAAGAACAAGTGAGAGAGTTCTTCTCATTCTTTAATCCACCTAATTTAGTTGACTTCTCCCTGTTCTCGCCTTTCCATCATTCCATGGAGAGGCTGCCATCTTTTGTAATTCAAATTAAAATCAACCTAGTAGCACCAATACCTAAATAAAGTTAGTAAGGAACCTCTCCAGAAAAATATTACATACTTCAACTACTATTCATAACATACCCGAAATACTAACTCTAATAGAATGACCAATTCATACTTTCGTTTGTTCAAGTTTGATCACCTGTTCGGGCTCACAAACTTCTATTCAGTATAATATAATATGAAATACCAAGAAACGAATAACAATTTCCCTTTTCTAACTTTTACATATAGTAATCTTTCCAAGTGTTGTATTCTCACCCCAAGAAGAGTACAAAGTAAGAAGAAACAACTGGAAACCAACTTATTAACAAAATTGCACCTACAAATACATTGACATATACATGAAACAAAAAAAACAACAAAGCTTCAATCTCTAACTAGTTGGTGTCGCTGATAAGAATCTTCAAATATTCATATTTTTAAAAGGTGATGGCGGGGCCAGCTTGAGGGCACCTCAACTATTCCATTTGGTACCTGCAATCTCTCACCACCTATCAGCACATGTACCAAGTAACTCTGTCTACCAAGTCTTAGACAGAAGAGAAGAAATCACTTGGTTTTTGTGTCCACCGGATTTGAACACTGGTCTTCAAGGACCAAGATTCTAAATATAGTCATATACATAAAACAACAAAAACCACAAAGCTTCAATCACGAAGTAGTTGGGCTCGCCTATAAGAATCCTCCATACTCATTTTTTATAAAGGTGGTGTCGGGCTAGCTTGAGTGCACCTAGACTATTCCATTGGATGAGAATAAATCACATAGCATTTGTCATCTATCAAGGACCAAGGTGCACCCACTTTATTGACCGCTATGCCACAACCTTGGATGCTGAATCTTCTAAATTAATGCTACTTTATATTTCTAGAAAAAAAATTTACTTTATTTGGGCGCATTCATTCCAATGCTCGCTAAATTGTCTTTTAAATTTGCAAAACACCTTCTAATTGGATCACATACTCTACAAAAATAAGGTTGAAAAAAGAAGGCGGATATGATATAAAACAATGGTTAAAATAGAATAATACCGCATAGTCTTCTTCAGTGAGGTGCCGAACGATCCAAGAGTTGAATATGAATGGTATTCCCCTTGATAAAAATTGAGTTGCTACAAATATGAACACATTACTGAACAAACAATGCTAAAAAAATATGAAATTGAATAAATATAAGGTGAGAAGGTAAATAACTGACCTAGCAAGTACTTGAATGTGTGAGATAAATTCGCCGAGCGATCTCCATTTTCAGTTGATTGAGAAGAAGATTTTGACATTGCCTTCTCTCTGTCGAAAAATGCAATTTGGTTTGTTGAACGGCTCGATGTGACATATATAGTGTTTAGTTGAACCGGTTTATTTGGAGGAATTCTACTTAACCTTGGAGAGATGGAGTCAGCCGCAATGCCCTTGGAATCTTCCGGTAGATGTTTAGCGTTATTTGCGTCAATTTATATTAATTTACTACTAACGAATTAAGGTAAAAATATTCATTTACTTAAAAGTACCAAATAATGCCTCTAAACCATTGAATTTGGCTTTAAAATATCCTCTTTTCACTTATGGGACCTTAAATGTCCTAAATGTTACTTTTTATCTTAAAAATACCCCCAACACTAATGGTTGACTAACAGTTGACTAGTTAAAACATACACAAATATGTAAGAATATTCAAAACTGATAAAAAAGTTATTAAGCCTTAATTTGTACATCCCTATACATATAAAAGTTTTTTTTCGTTTGTTTTCACTCGATATCTCTGTGTGACTTTTTATCAAATATACGAAACAAGCTTCTTGAATTTTATCCTCTAAAAGCAAAGATACGAAGCATTATTTTACAAACCAATTGAATCATAATCAAACTCAAACTCCAATTGTTATAACATGAGTATCAAGCTGGAATACATGTCTCAAATTCACAGAGGAAAAAGCCCATATGCAAAGCATAAATAAAAGCTTAAAATTAACTAACAATTGGATTTTATGCATACAACATCATAACTAATAAAAGGTTCAACTACTCTATTCAAGAAGAAAGTACTACAGTACACAGAGAGCTGAAATATACCTACAGCGTCAATGAAGAAATTCTTTCAGTTTAGAATCAAATATTCCCATCTTGTCTTAGCGTTTTGTGTCTGTATTTTTGTATGTGTGTGTTTCTGATTTGTTTTGGTCGTGAAATGGGGCGGGTTAATTATATGGAGCAGGTATTAGTGGGTTGGTCGTGTATCAATAGAACAACGCAAAGTGGCTCTTCATAAAGCCCCACCTAGTCAACTGTTAGCGGCAGGGGCTAAGACAAAAAAATAATATTGAGGGCATTTACGATTCAATAGTATCGCTACCCAAAATTCAATTAGTCGTGATGACATTTAACTCAATCCGCTAGGTAAGTCAATTAATAACTATCCAATTTAATAAGATTTATTGAGATAAATAAATGATAAAATAACTGAACTTTAATACATTTTCCAAGGACTGGTAGTATAAATCATGAGCTTTTAAGATTTAGATTTTTATAAAACTGAATTGAAATTATTACAACATCCGTTTGAAATGTAAACGAACAGAATTCGAATCTAATGCTACCAAGGACAAGTGATAGCCATAACTGGAACGCAAGTACATCTTCAAATCCAACTCCCGCCGTACGAAGCAACATCAGTATCCAACATCCACGTAAGGTGCAGAAGTGTAGTATGAGTACAACCGATTTCATGTGCTCAATAAGTAACAAACCTAACCTTAGGTTGAAAGTAGTGACGAGTTGGGGCAAGGGTCAGAGTCCAACTCCAATAACCAGCAACAGTTCATAATAATCATAATAAAAATAGTGCCAGAAGATAACCCAGAAGTATGATGCTCAACTCGCTCACAGTTACGGGAAAATAGGTATGTTTTTCAAATAAAATAGTAAAACCCAAATCTTTTACTGAAAGCACCAAAATATGAGTAAGTTTGTAAAATCGTGATTTTCTTTCCAAAACTTTTCAACAAGTAAATGTTTCATTATCAAATGGTACGAAGAAAGTACATCTCTATGCCTATATGTCAATGTGTATGAGCAGTCATGGATGACGTGATACCATACAACATGAGAAAAATGCATCTCTATGCATATATGTCAAGTGTGCATATCGAATGCAATACAACATAGCGAATAACCATATGCATATTCTCAGAGTATCAATCCACTCAGTCCTCCCAGTCACTCGGTCCTCCCAATCACTCACTCCCCACAGTCACTCAATCCTCCCAATCGCTCGGCACTCGCACTCGCACTTACATTCGCACTCAAGAGGTACTTGCGCCCACTGTGAATGTGCAGACTCCGGAGGGCAATTCCAGTCCAATCATTATAATAAGCCAATCATGGCATGAATCAAATAAACATGTTGCGGCGTACAGTCCGATCCCATAAATATCCTCACAAACAGGCCCTCAGCCTCACTCAGTCATCAATCTCTCCAGTCTCTGGGGCTCACAAGAATCAAGATAATCAGACCAAACAGTGATGATATGATTTATAAATAAAGGACAATAAAGACTGAGATATGATAAGTAAATAATAGCTGTGACTAAGTATAAATTTCAAATTAAGCAATTAATTCAAAATGTAACACGGCCTCTACGGGTCCAAACAGTGCCAACATGTGGCTTAAGCATAATTTCTAACATGGATCACAGCTCAATTACTCTAGCACGTAGAGATTTCATGGTTACAAATAAGATTAGGTAACTATGCAGTACTACAGAAATAACTTAATCACAATTCACACGGCGCACGCCCACTCGCCCGTCACCTAGCATGTGCGTCACCTCAGCACCAAACACATATCACGCATATTCAGGGGTTCATACCTCAGCATCAAGTTTAGAAGTGTTACTTACATCGAACAAGCCAAATCCAATACCGAGCAAGCCAAACGATACTCCTAAAATGCCATTTCGCGCGTACCGACCTCCGAACGGCTCGAAACTAGCTAAAAGCAACTCAAATACATCAAATAATACCTAAGGAAATAATTCTATATGATAAAGGTCGAATCTTTAATCAAAAGCCCAAAGTCAACCAAAAATTCAAATCCGGGCCCGCACCTCGGAACCCGCCAAAGCTTACAAAATCCAACAACCTATTCGATTACGAGTCTAACCATACTATTTTCACTCAAATTCGACTCTGAATCGATGTTCAAAACTCAAAAATTCACTCTATGAAACTTTAGACAAAATCCCCCAAATTCTCTCTTGAAACCCTCAATCAAATGCAAAAAACGAAGATAGATTCATGATATAAAATAAAAAATGAGTAGAGAACATTTACCCCAATCCACATGGTGAAAATCGCTTCAAAAATCGCTAAATCCAGAGGTCCCCAACTTAAAATATGGATAAATGGCTCAACGGTCCGAAATTGGACATTAAATCCACTGCCCAGGCTTCCTTCTTCGCGATCGCGGACATCCCTTCGCGATCGCGATGAACAAATTCTTCAACAACAATTTCCAAACTCTTCCTAGACAACCTCTAGTATAATAATCATAACTTTTTGTACAAACCTCCAAATAATAAATGGTTTGACTTTATGAAAACTAGACATCAAGGGCTACAACTTTTATTTTTAGATCATCTCCAAGTTTCTTATAGATTGCAAGATATAAACTTCCAAAGTTAGCCCTGTGCAACATAAATTTCTCCTATGCGATCGCGAAAAGGTTTACGTAATCGCGATTCACAAGGCCCTAAACTGCAGTTTTCTCTTCGCGAACGCGACTAAATGTTCGCGATCGCGATGCACACCTCTATTGCCAAAAATCAGCAATTAAAAATGGTCTGAAACTACCCTGAAACTCACCCGAACCCTCGGGGTTCCACGCCAAACATAAACACAAGTCTAGAAATATCATGCGAACTTGCTCGCGCGATCAAATCACCAAAATAATACCTGAAACCATGAATCGGACATCAACACGCATGAAATTTGAAGGGAGAACTCAAGAACTTCTAGAATTGCAACCAAGCGTCTGAATGCTATCAAACCGACTCTGAACGACCCCAAATTTTGCAAGCAAGTTCCAAATCATAAAGCAGACCTACTCGATGTTTCAAATCTCACTTAACAACATCAAAATCACAAATTGCATCTCAAATCGACTTAATGAAGTTAATGAACTTTCAAAATTCAAAACTAACGGCGAACAAGCCTAAACACCTCAGATTGATCTCAAATTTGGAACACAAGTCATAAATGACATAACGGACCTACTATAACTTCTAAAATCAAAATCCGACCCTGATATCAGTAAAGTCAAACCTATGAACATTTCTAAACCTTCAAATTTCTAACTTTCGCCAATTAGTGCTGAAACCCTCTAGAATTATCCAAATACAAATCCGGGCATATGCCCGAGTCCAAAATCACCATCCGGACCTAACAGAATCATCAAAACTTGGATCTGAGGTCGAATACTAAAAAGTCAAACTTGGTCAACTCTATCAACTTAAAGCTTCAACTATGAAATTCATTCTTCCAAACTAATTCTGAAACACCTGAATATCAACGCCGATGATTCACACACATCATAATACATCATATGAAGCTACTCAAGTTAAAATAGCTGAACGGAATGTAAATTCTCAAAACGACTGGTCGGGTCGTTACAAATAGGTTAGGATCATTTTTAAGACAAAAAAATAATATGGAAGGATGGTATTTTTAAGCCAAATTCAATATGTTAGGACCATTTTTTTACCATTTGATGTAAAAATATGGGAATTATAGAGTATAAATACACCATAAGTTTTTATTGAGTTCTCTTTGGAACTTCTACTTAACACCTTTCGGTTTGTAAATAATAATATTAGTATTTGAGTGTAGGCAGGCCTTTTTTAAGCTTAAGCAAGGTGCAGAAGTATAGTATGAGTACAACCGATCCTATGTACTAAATAGGTATCTTGACTAACCTCAGTGAAATAGTGACAAAGCTTTTTAGTTAAATGATACTCACTGATATAATCTGTGCAGTAGACTAACAATAGAACAATACTAGAACATAACAGAAAAGAATACAAGAAACAAATATGCGAAGCAGTAAATGATTACTAGAAGAAATCACGATTAATATTCCTCAATATCACGACCAATCCTTTCCTTAGAGCGATAACCAACAAACCACGGTAGTAAATTCATAACTTTCATAGTGTGAGAAATATACTCAAGATATCAAATCAATGGCACAACAACACCCTTCATGCATTTATCTCTTTCTCACCAAATATACGTATAACAGTACCAACCAGATGAAAAAAAAATACCAATCAGTAATGACAAAGTGGAAAATACACAAGTAGCAATAACTATCAAGGCAGTACATATGGACAACAGTAATAGACTAGGTAGAAGGCATGGGAGTAATGACAACAATTAGGAAAGAAGAACATAAATTTCACTAACTAACATGGTAAAAGGCCTATATATAGATATAACAAAAAAGAGGTAAAACATGGTCTTTATGAGCTAACAAATAAGAGGCATGAATAACTAACATGGTAAAAGGCTTATACGAAAGTGCAACAAATAAGAAACGGCATGGATGTAGATATGATAACAAGAAGGAAAGCATGATATTTGCAAGTTAAAACAGATAGAAGGCATGGACAACATAACGGCAATTGAGATAGAGGACAAAGACAGAACAACAATGACAACCACATAGAAAACATAGGTACAACAGTAACAACTCAAGGTAAAGGCATGAATATATACACAAGGAAAATATATCACAACATAATGCATGTCCCTCGTCCTCGCCTATACGGAAACAACCTTTGTGCCATGAATACATGATAATATAAAAATATGATAATGTAAATGAAGTGGCACGGTATCACCCTTCGTGCTTTTACTCTCATCCTCACATGATAATATAAATGAAATGGTACGGCATCACCCTTCGTACTTTTACTCTCATCCTCACATGATAGTGTAAATGATAGCATGATAATATAAATAAAATTACACAATATCACCCTTCGTTCTTTTACTATCATCCTCACATG